AGGGCGTGCATAACGGTCAAGGTGTTAGATGCACGGCTCCTGCCGGAAGTATGTTCCAGGGACCTGACGGCAGTGGAGGTGACAGCGATTAGCAGCGCTGGGGCTGCCAGGAAGCTCGTCATCTGCTCGGCCTACTTCCCGCACGGAGAAGAAGTGCCGTCGCTGGAGTTAACCAGATTGGTGGATCTCTGCCAGAAGGAGGGACTGCCATTGCTGATAGGATGCGACGCTAACGCGCATCATACCATATGGGGAAGCACTGGAACGAACGAAAGGGGTAGGAGGTTGCTGGAGTACCTGGTAACTACTGACCTGGAAGTTCTGAACAGAGGTAACAAACCCACCTTTTGCACGGCGGGGAGGAGTGAGGTTCTAGATCTCACTCTCTGCTCGCGTGGATTCGTGCGAAAGGTGAGGGAATGGAAGGTGTCGGATGAGCCCTCGTTCTCCGACCACAGGCAAATAACCTTTAAACTTTCAGATCTCAAAGTGGAGGTTAAGAAGGTGAGGAATCCAAAGAGGACGGACTGGGTATCCTATCAGAGAGACCTGAGAATCAACCTCAGGGACTTTCCCAAGAAGTACGGCACGGCGGAGGAGTTAGAGCTCTGTGTGGATTATCTGCAGAGGGCTCTGATTGGCTCTTACGAAGCAAACTGCCCGGCCAGCACGGTGACAAACAACAGGGGAACTCCCTGGTGGAACCCACGACTGCAGGGTCTTAGGGTCAAGGCTCGGAGGGCCTGGAACAAGGCGAGGAACACGGGCCGACCCTCTGACTGGGATCTTTACAAGAGATCCCAGAAGGAGTACAGAGACTCTGTGGTGGAGGCGAAGAGGAAGAGCTGGAGGGACTTCTGCGAGTCGGTGAAGGGCATGCTAGCCACCACCAGGCTTTGCAGATTTCTATCCAAGAACCCGGAGGCAGCGTTGGAAGCGGTCCGAATGTCAGACGGCACCATGGTATCTGGAGAGAAATGCCTGGTGCATCTTCTGGAGACTAGTTTTCCTGGTTTCCGGAGGGATGTGGATAGGTGCGGAGAGGCTGACATGGGCCCCTTCAGGGCACG